GTCCTTTTTCCAAAATCATGATTCAGACTTAGTGTAATTCCAATTAGAATACCAGTAGCAGACTTCAATAACTAGAGAAAACAAAATGTGAAACTAATATGAAAATAGAAGAGACCTAGAATAGCGAAAGCAATTATGGGAAAAGCTGGAAATCCAGGAAAAAAGGGCAAGGCACTGTGCATCAGAGGCTTGGACTTGAAGCTGTAGAATAAAGATAATGTGGAAAAAACACCAAGTTTGTCTGCTGTACACTTCTGTAGTGTCTTCAGAGGTCTTATAACACAGCTTCAGATCTATAATTTCAATTGAATGGTTTGATCCAGCCTCAGAGGATTTAATTGGGCAGTTGCACTCTCTGAAGGAGATAAAATCTTCTAGAATGCTTAGGACTTATTATGGGACTGACTACATGTATTAGTTGAGTTGTGAGTGTGCTGAAATAATTTGAAAAGGTTAAAAGAAAACATCAATCACTAAAATAGAGTATCTGGGTTCTATACTAAATTGGAATACCGGGAGAACCAAGCACAGGAAAAAATGGACAATTCATGTTTGATTTTTTTTCTCTAAATTTTCTTATTTAAAGATGAGTTTTTGATGCCTTTGTTGTACCATAACAAAAACTCTTAGCACTTTACATCCATGTGCAGCATGAAGTACTCTCAAGTATGACAAGTTGCATAGCATTGGCAAGCTGGTGTGTCACATACTGTGTTTTATTTCCTAGAATGTGATTCTGACTACTATAAGATTCTTTTTTTTTTTTTTACTACTATAAGATTCTTAATGGAAAAATGTATGCTTTTCCACCTATATGAATTGATGCCATCAGATAATATATACTATGTATAAATAATACCTGTGAAGGACAAGTTTAACAAAAGAAAGACTTAATTTTTGTGATTGTGATTTGTGCTGTATCACTAAGATGAGTAAGAACCACTTAGCTCATTTGTAAGCTTAGTGTTTCGAGGATTCTTGGCTTGTAGGACACAAACACAGAGGGACAGCCCACCTGTATGCCATTCAAAATAACTAATACATTTGTACTATCAATGAGATAATGTAGTAGAATAAAAAAGAAAATGAAGTCTCCCCATTTTTCTGTGCATGATCTCTGGATTTGCCAGTACATTTGGATGTTGATCTCAGGTTACTCCAGGCTTCCACATTGTTTATTCACCCTTCCATTGGTGATTCATCAGCAGGGAAGGAATTTGAAGGGCAGGAGCCATGCACCAAATGTGATCTCATAGATCATGCTTTTTAACCTCCTGCTGACACACACACTCACATGTGTTTACTGATATCCTAGGTATCTCTCAAACCAACAAATGTGACCGTACAAGTCCAGTCATCAAAGTGAGACTAGAAGGAAAGTCAGAATGAGAAAACAAGACAAGACACTCAGCTTTATGTTACAGATTTTCTCACCATCATTTTTCAGGCTAATTAGTATAAAGAAAATGAAATGATTTAATTGGAGAAAATAATATACCTAAGGAGAGAAACTATGAGGAGAAAAGTGGATATTATGGTAAAATTCCTGTGTTGAGTTCTTAGCTGTTCCCGCCTCATCACAGGGCAGTGACTGAGACTGGGGCTACATTGCAGCTGTCACTCTGATCTTCCACATGTGATTAGTTAGAAAGTTGAATTTCTTTCTGACATTCGATAAAGAAAGTTTTCTGCCCTAGTTGCTTGAAAATGTTAATGTTATCTTGATTACTTTAATACTGCTAACAAATTTAAGCTATTGTTTATTAAATCATTATATACCCTATTGGTATGCTTTTATTTTCTTTATAAAAAATTAGACTGAGAAATGGTGGTGAGAAAATCTGTAACATAATGCTAAGTGTCTCATTCACTTTTCTGCATTCTGACTGCATTAGTGCTTTCCTTCTAGTCACAGTATTCTGTCATTGCCTGTACCCAGATCGTACACTGGATTTATAGGTTTAATCTATGTGTCTTTGACACTGCAAGAACAGAATTGAAGCTGTGATCCCATCCACAGCAACAACAAGTACAAGCCCACAGAACACAGTAAGCAGCTCTGCAAAGCTTGGAGCAAATCCTGCTTGAAATCAACCATCCAAATGTGTGACTCAAGTCAGTATACCTGGGAGGAAGCCTGGGCAGGTGAGGGACTACAGTCTGCCATTTGTACTTCTATCAAGCAGATAAGTATATCGCATTAGTTTCCTTCTGGCTAAGTTAATAGCACACCGAGCAGCTTTGCATCTGTGAGGAAGAGTTAGGGTGTATGAAAAGTCAAATCAGATATGCAGGCCAGAGAATAGAATCCTCCTTTCCAGGAAGTTAAGTCAGAAGCTCACAAAGTGTTGCTGAGACTCCCATGCTGACTCAGCCTGACTTGTTCTGTGGCTTCTAGACCTCAGTCAGCAAGAAGGTGATTGTGCAGGACCAGATAAGCAAAGAGAAAAGCGTGAGGTTTTTGTTAGAGGTGTGGGTTCTTATTGTAAATGAATAGAACCAGCTTTGGCAGGAGTTGAGCCTCAGAGCATCAGTTGAGAAATCTTTGTTTCTGACAAAGAAATCTTTTGTTTCCTTTTCCTTCTTAATGACTGCCAAGGTCTGAGTACCTATTCCTTTATGCCATGCCATCCAAACTTAGAGCAAGGAAAACATGAACTGAAAAAATGAGCCCATATAAACACTACTCCTCTAAGTCAAGATTGTTGGATATTTTGTTCCAGTTCCAGGAAAGTGGCTAAGATATCTGATTATACTAAATCTGTTAGAATATGAGATCTCAAATGTAATTGTATTTTCCACTCTAGGCTTTATTGTCATGATACTAAATTCCAAAATTACCAGCTACTTCCACACAATCTTAAAGTCATTAAAGGAAGTTTACAAATCATGTATAATGGAGATACTGTTTAGCATGGCCTGTGATGAAAATCATTATCGAGGTCCTTGCCAAACATACTAAAACTTCTTTCTTACATCCAGAGCAGGTCAATAAATGAATAAACTAACCAGTTAACAAGCTCTTATTGTTTATAATGCCAAAAATTAGATGATGTTTCCAATTTTAAAAAGGAAAGATGCAGGACAATTTGCTTGTAAGATTGCCTTTTAAGCCCACATTTCAAACCACTTACAGTACTCATATGTATATATAATTCATGTTTTAGTGCAGACAGAAAAGTACACTTTCTCATATAATTGCTATGGCTCATTGATAGTTTGTAGACAGTGTTCAAAGCAGGACATTCTGAATGAAGTAGGGAGTTCAATGACAAACGCCATTGTATCGGGCAAGGTACCAAGTGCAGGTGTGTATGCACATTGGTGTAAGACACAAACATGTTTAAAGGAGAAGATGAAGGAAGATAGAAAAATCAGTCCTGAACCAGGAGTTTTCCTTGAGAATGTAGTACTGGAGACAAATCCAGAATATTCACTATGAAAGCCATAAAGCCTTTTATGTGTTGCTTTTCTTATTCTGAATTCATTATTGTTACTATTTTGAAGGTAGTAGAATACAGCAGAACAAAGCCAATCGAGACAATGCAGTGAAATTGGTACTGAGCTTTACAGCAGGATACCGAGATAACAGTAATAGGTACTATAGTATATCTTGTTATCTTCACAATAGTTGTCCTATCAATCAGGTATAACAAAATCAAACCTAATACAGAACATCATAAAACCTATCAAAACAGTATTAAGCCAGGGATTTAGCTTAGCGGCATAAGCACCTGCCTGGCAAGCACGTGGTCGTGAGTCTAATCCCCAGTACAGAAAAAAACTGTATTGAATATAGAGCAAAACAGTTAATCAGAACAAAGCAAAACAGTAATAGCAATATTTGCCTTCAAAGAGATGATAGAAGGAAATCCCCCATATTTGCTATATTGCCTATAGTCATCCTCCCAAGAGATACTCAGACCTCTGGCTCCCATTGGCTAATGGGGGTGGAGAGGGGATGGGGTGTTTGATTTTCAGCCTGTGCACCAGTAGGCTTATGGCTGCTTACCAGGGAGGTGAGCGGGTTCCTTTGTTGCTCAGTGCCCTAAGTTCCAACATGGCATGGATCTCGGGAGACGCTCTCTTATTCTGAATTTTGACAGTTGGTCTTGTTATGGAGCTAAGGCTTGACTTGACCCTTTTCATATACTGTCCTCCTCCCAGATCACAGGTTTGGATCACCAGGGAGAAGTGTATATCCAGATCACACTTTTTGGTCAAATTAAACATCACCAGTTATTCCTTTGAATGTCAAGAGTGTTGGAAATGTTTATCATTGACAATGTTTTGGGGTCATTATGAAAGACTTCCTTGGAAAGTTGATGCCCTAGACAAGTATCTATGAATTTGAGATTGTTTCCGTGTGTCATACAATTTTGTAATTCAAATTTTCCCTGGATCCTGGAGGAAATGACTACCATAATTTTGTTCACAATAGGAATGTCTTTCTCTTTTTATCATAAGCCACTTTGAGGCAATGTATTCATTTCTATTAATGGGTCCCACAATTTCAAAACTTCAGGATGTCACATACATTAAAGAGCAGTCTTGTAAGCAGTGTACTAGGACTGTGCTCTAAATTTGTCAACATTTTGTTCATTTTGGGTGATGAATTGAATTTGAGCACACCATTTTTTTCTTCTAGAATTGATTAATGCTCAGCATTAATACACAGTTGAGTTCAAAGAAAAAAATGGGAAAAAATCAAAGCTCAAACTTCAATAGCTTGTCCCTTTTTAGTACTGAGACCTTGGACAAGAACAGTTTCATCCTGTGAAGATGAGTCACTGTGATGTGAAAAAGCCCAGATTTAAATTTCCTGACTTCCCATGTTTCCCACTGTCACCATCTTGATTGAGCTTCCCTGGACTGCAAAGGCACTGGGAATTTTGTGTGACCTTGGGAATGTGTTTAACTTTCAGAGCATGGGTTTGCTTGTGAATGGCAGTGAAGGAGGATTCTTCCTAAAAACCTTTCCTTTTTCTTTTTCTTTGCAGCAAGTTGCCTGTTTAAAATACAAGTTACCTCAAGGATTTAAGAATTGCTTTTCAAGATTTCACTTTGTTTTTCATTTATCATTAATATATATAGAGAAAGATCCATAGAACCATTGATGGAGGTAAGGAAACATTAGTTTACCTCCAGTATTTCCCTGATTTCATGTAACTATCCACAAAGAGGCCTTAGGATGGAGTTTTGCGAGCTCTATGGCCATTTGAAAATCCAGCAACCAAAATTGTACTTGATTTCAATATTTGGAATTGTAATGCATTAATTGAAATTAATATATCATTATTATTATCATGGAAAGATTATTTAAGTTTTGTGTTGGACAGCCTAATAGCCTTATAACATTGTAGGGAAATTCACCTTTGAGACACTTCACTCCCCTACTCCACTGCCTCTGGGCTTGTGTTATTTGAAATTGGATTCTGTTATTTATTATGTATTACACATTTTAAAATATTACTACTCTTTATGCAAGGGATCACAAACTATTGCTAGAATAATAAAAAATTTTGATAAGCCAATGATAGAAAATTTAACATTTGTACAAATATTCATATATGAAGGCAAACAAATATATATAAATGAATATGAACACTTTATTGGTCATTTGTTACATACATATTTTAGCATATGTGTTGCCAAAGTGAGCACAACATAAATTTTTTATCAAATTCTCAAAAAAATGTAGGTGAGATTTAATGATAATAACAATATAAGTACCCTTGGTTTACCCAGAATACTTTATCCCTGACCTCTGGACAGTGGATGAAAGTATCCATGTGATAAACTCCCTACTGGACTTAGTTTTGTTGCCTTGTTGTTGACTACTCTCATTCCTTGGCAGCCTTCCCCTAGTTCATCTTGTGTGATTTTCTAGGAAGTGTTGTGTTAGTTTCATTGCACATACTTTTTAATAAGTATTCTAGAAGTTGCACAGGGATGTATCCTGAAATTTTGTCTCACTCTTCACAAATGATATCTGAATCATGGAAAAACTACTTTCTCATCAATTTTGTTGGTATGAAGGTTCAAGATTTTTCAACTTTACATAATAATAGTCACATCTATGTACAAGAAAAATAGTACAATGTATTCTCTGGACATTGGAAAGATTTCACTGTTGTGTTGATTTTGTCAAACTTAAAAGGAAAAGAGATGAGTGTACTAATTAGTTCTCTCTCCTTGCATGAGTTTTACTATGTTTAACACACCTCAACTTCCTTTGATTTTTTTTCCCATGTTTTGCTCATTTTATATTCAGTGTTTTGTATCAGATATGTTTTATATATTGTAGAAATTTGTATTCATTGGTCTTTAATCTCTATAAAAAATCTTTGTATTGTATACACAGTAAATATTTTAGTTTTGGTTTATTTATTTACCATGGTTTTGTTTTCTTTCTTTTTTTTTTTTGTGTGTGTGTGTGTGTGTGTCTTTTTCCTTTTTATCGGTACCAGGGACCGAACTCACAACTGTTTGCTTGCAAGGCAGGTGCTTATGCCGCTGAGCTAAATCCCCAGCCTCCTACCATGATTTTCATAAACTTAAGTTTCTCTTCAAAATTCTGATGACTACTTGTTTCCTCTGAGGCAACTTTTTTTGTATCTGAGTTATTTCAGTATATAATCAGTATATTTCAGTATATAAAAGAAATTCAGGGCCAGGGATATAACTCAGTGTCCCAGTGCCTACCTGGCAAGTGTGAGGTCATGAGTTTGATTCCCTACAAGAAAAAAGCACACGTTTTTCATTCATTTTTTATTATGTAATTTATATACATAACAGAAGAGTAGCTATCTAGAGTTCCAAATTCATACCTGTTTCTCTCTGAACATTAATAAACTATATTGTGATTACTTTCAGCTATGTGTCACCACAGGCTGTGTTGAATTTAAAATTAGTGATCAACTTAACACCAGCTGGATTAAATCAGCAAGGTGCTGAATGTAGATGATTCACCTGAGGAAGGTTGGCAGCATAAATAGAGATGTGGCGAAGGAGAGCAAGGTGTTGTGGGTTCTCCTAAATGTTGCTGTTTTGAGCCATTGGTTCTCCTGGAGGAGCTCAACATGACTAGCTTCTCCAATATGAATTCGGCCATTATTATCAGAGGATCTCAGGATCTTGTTGGTGAGGATGGCTGTAGTTCACTTTGGGGGAAGCTCTGGTCCTTACATTGAATATCACTTGGTGGCTCCAGAGGGGAAGATGTGTACTGTTTAATCTCCAGGAGAAGCTTGTCACACTGACTTTCTGGCATGTATGTGACTGTTCTCGTTTGGAGGCGCTCAGGACCTCCTTGTCGTTGAGTATTGCGGTGGTACTTTTTTTTTTCTTTTTTGGTACCGGGGATTGAACTCTCAACTATGCTCTCGCAAGGCAGGCACTTAGGCCTCTGAGCTAAATCCCCAGCCTGCTGTGGTACTTTTCAAGGCAGCCCTGGTCCTTATTTTGAGTGTGACTTCTTGGCTCCAGTATAGGACCCTCAACCAGCATAGCTCATTGACCCCACTGGTGTAGACTTTAGCTTTCACCACTGACCTTTGGGCCTTCCCAGCACAGATCCATAAAACAGACTGGCTTGAGTCCTTCTCGTGGGCTCTAGGCCTCCAGTTGAACTCATGGGAGGCATTGTCATGGGCTCTGGGTCTTCAGCCTGACTCATGCAGAATATTGCTGTGGGATTCAGGCCCTTGGCTGAATATTTTGGGTCTTTAGTGTTGTGGACAGATTTCCTGTGCTTTATTGTATTTAACTCTGGGTGACCATCATAAAATAGTATTATAAATTCTGTGTCCTGTATGTAATCCTTCTCCTTACAACTGCTGGCTACAACAGGCTGTATCATGAATCTCTATTTACCACATCTTTTTTTTTTTTTTGTCTTTTTCCTTTTTATCGGTACCGGGGATCGAACTCACAACTGCCTACTTGGAAGGCAGGCGCTTATGCCGCTGAGCTAAATCCCCAGCCCCATGAATCTCTATTTACATGTGGAATTGTAGAAAGCTACCTTTCTTTTCAGATATTCATTTGTCTTTCTCCCTCTCATTTGTCTTTCTCCCTATTGCAGATTGTATCAAAAGATGTGATATGAATGTGTTTGATATAAAGTGTGCAAGCTCTGCCACCTTGTTCAGGAGTTGTTGAGTTTTGTGTTTTCTGTTACAGTGCACGGTTGTAATTTTTTGAACAGATCAAAGGAGTGACTTGAAAATGACATGATATTTTAAGTTTTCCTTTTGTGGCAGTAGTGTTACACAGGATCACACTTTGAAATTTTGGCTGACTTTGAAGTTGCCTCATATCTTATCTGGGCCTGGACTTTAAACTCCTGGCAGTCATCAGACTCATGGAAATCCACATACATCAGCCTGCCAAGTGCTGTGGTTACAGGCATGTACCATCACACCTAGCTGATGCTTTACTTCTGTAAATACTGCCTAATGATTTGTAATATCTTTCCTGTTATGTGCCTAATATATTTTATACATGTTCTTCCCATTAATGCCACTTGGACAGTCGCAGGGATTCATGTATTGGAGTGCAAGGTGATCAATTTGTTTCATTAAGCTTGTAAGATAATATGCCACATCACTTCTGTTTTCATTGTCCATAGACTTATTCCAAGAATACTGCTTTTCCATTAGTATTTTAATATTATTCATAAACCTTCTTTGTTTTCTTTTTTATTGGTACATTTTAGATATACACAGTGATAACATTCATTTTGGACTTTGTACCTCTACATGGTATATCTTGATGCTTTATTTTCTTCCACTTCCCCCACCTCCCTACAAGACACTATTTGCCTCTTTATTTATAAAACTGGTTTTGTTTTGTCTTTATCCTTCTATTTTTTTTTAATTGGTACTGAGGATCAAACTCAGGACCTCGTGCTTGCCAGGCAGGTGCTTGAGTCTCTGAGCTAAACCCCCAGCGCCCTATTCTTTTTTCTTGTCCCTCCTTTCCTTCCACAACCCCTCCATTTTTCCCCGACTCATTTAAACATTTTCTTCTCAGATTCCTCAAAAAACAATACCTAGAGGACCCATTTGACCCAGCTATATCCTTTATTGGTCTTTCTCCAAAAGTATTTATAAGCGTCATTCCACAGTGATACATACACACCCATTTTATGTGGGACAGTTTATAATGGATATATCTTGAAAAACAGCCCACATTTCCATCACCTGATGAATGAATAAAGATGATATGAGTTTTTTATACAATAGGGTACTTCTCTGTCATAAAGAATTATAATCTTTGGATATTAGTAGCTAAGTGGATGGACCTTGACATCATATTCTAAAAAGAAATAAATTGACTCACAGGTGAAAATATCACATGATTTTTCTGTTGTCAGAAACTAAAGTGTAAATAAGGAACAATATGTATATCCTTTATTTAATGTTCATTTAAGATTTTTATCCCTAAAAAATCAGATTCACATTTCAAAATGCTGCCTATCTACAATATAAGAAAGAAAAACTTAATTCTGTGAATACTCAGATTTGAAAAGAGGTATATTCTTTGGTCTGTCACAACAGACCTTCAGTAGATATTTCTTCTGGCCTTGGGAATGGTGATTTGTAGGTTGCCTCTGAGCTCTGCTTTAGAAACTGCACAGATAGAATTTCTGTGACCTTATTATGCAAACAGTGCTGTGGTTCTGTTGCAGTAGCAGAAAGAAGCAATCTAGCATCAAAATTGTGTGTGAAACTATGTTCATAAACATGGATTTATGTGACAAGAATTTATCTTTGAAATAACAACTTGAACTCAGTTTTCACAAGAAGAGTTTAAGTTCTCAGGATTATGTGAGTGTCAACCTTCTTTTAGGAAATATGTATGTGATTATTTAGGAGGCAGTGACTGTGGAGGATGTAACCGTGAACTTCACCATAGAGGAGTGGGCTCTGCTGAATCCATCCCAAAGGAAGCTCTACAGAGATGTGATGTGGGAAACATTTATGAATATAAATGCTATAGGTAAGAGTGACATATATTCTCATACATACAATGAGAGAGCTTTAGTTTTTGCTGATGGGTACAGGTTCATTAAATAGAATGTGAAAACATTTTGAATAGTATCTCAGTTCTGTTAACATTATACCATCAATCTCTCTGTTAACTGCTAATTTTGTATAATGATATGGTGACTTTTTCTATTTCTATGGCTAAAATTCAGGAAGGACTTGGGATGACCAGCAAATTGAAGAAGAATATGAAACTTGCTCAAAAAGTCTAAGGTAATTGCCTTCATAAGGAAAAGCAGTACTTCTCAAATATTGGTGTGTGAGCAGAAATATTACAAAGCAACTACAAATCAGGCCATGTTCAAATTTAATCACATAAAAATTCTTCCAGTATGCATATAGGTTGCTTTTGTGTAATCTGACAGTTGAATACAGAAGTACGACAATACAGGAAATTTATTAGTCATACTATGTAACAAGTAACACTATCTCATACATATTTTGGTATAAAAAATTTCATTCACGATCAATATCATAAAAATGTATGAAGTTGCACTTAGGCATTATATATACTTATATATAAAAAAGTAAATCTTGAACATTGGCAGGAACTCATCTTCAAGTTATCTGCTTTTGAATATGTATGAATACAAGGTGTACATTATCAAAAAAACTGCCAATCTAGAAGCAGCATTCAAAATGCACATCAACGCTAATGTAAACCAGTGACTGAAAACATCCTCCAGACATTGTGTGCATTCATGTTTTAAAATTACTACAGTGCAGCCTCATACGTTATTGGTATTACTATAAAACAATTGGTTTTTTAAATTCAATATACAGATATCTCAAAAAATAAAAATTTTTGCATTTGATCCATGCTAAACTGCCTAAGTATATTCCAAAAGGATTTTAAAATGTCATCTTAGTAATGCATATGTACTTATGCTCAAAGCAGGGAATGCATAGACATTCTGTTCTTGAAATTATTTGCAACACCTAAGGTCTGGTAACCAACTAGATGCACATCATTGTATGCATGGAAAGGGAAATGTGTTATAGGCTCAGCATGGTGAAGCCTTCTTACAATCCCAGCGCTCTGGATGTTATGCCAACATGAAGTTCACCCTGATCAAATAAATGATCTATGACAGGCTCTCTCTAAATAAGAAATAAAAAGGCTGGAAGTATGTTTCATTCCGGAGACTTGTTTAATCCTCAGCACTGAAATAGACGTGCTATTATATATTCACCAGACAAGAAGTAGTATGTCATATCATCTGACAGAAAAAAAAAAATGAGACTCCAGCTCATAATGTTACATGTAGTAAGTTAGACACAGAATGTGTGTGGCCAGAGGCCTAAGTGCCTGCCCGGCAAGTGCAAGGTCATGAGTTCAATTCTTTATATCAAAAAAAAAAAAAAAAGAGTATCGGGTTCTGACCTAGATCCTTGATTTCCCAAATGAGTGTATGGCAGAGGTTAAATAAAAAGAGACATATGATTTTTAGGGGCTCCAGGAGGGTCAAAATCCTTTAATTAAGCTCGAGACTTCGAGGGTTAAGACAAAGGATTCTCTGGATCAGTCCACTTGTATTAGGACTAAAGACAAAGGGTGGAGAGACTGAGGAAAGCGCAGGCAATGAGCAGGACCTTAGGAGTCACTTCAAGGATGTCTCCAAGTTATGAATCAAGTCAATTTAGTAGCACTGTCTTATGAAGACATGATAGAAATGAAACTGTAGGAGTAATTTTTGCAGCTGCAGTCTCTACCTTGTTAATTGGATTTGGAGCCAGAGTGTCCACAGCTGTGGCCTTATCTTGCCCTTTGAGGTATCTCTGACCTCACAGGTCACTACAGGCCTCAGCCAGGACTAATGATTCATAGAGTTCACTTACTATGAGTCAATTCCCATCATCAGGAAAGGGGCCTTAGACCTAGGACAGACTCACAGATAAACATAGAAAGCCAATTAGTAAAATTGAAATCCTGCTCAGGGTCACTTCACAGACAGAATGTGTATTATCAAGTGTTTTATATGAAATATGAAAGTATAAATTAGCAAATAAAATTAAGTGACAGAAGGTGGGAGTGTTGGGGTACAAGTGTCAAAAATGATCAATGTGTTATACATACGTGTATCAATGCCTTGAACTTGACCTTGTGTGTTGAAAACATATACCAATCTACTTGGGAAATTGTCATTTTGGAGACATAATTCAGGGCTTTCAGACAATTTATTCTGAAAGTTTCTTAGCAGGAATTAAGCCAGAACTTGTGCCAGTAAATTATTGATATGGAGACATTTTATTGTGATTGACATGTTATTTCTTTACAGAAATGAAGAGGTACCACAATGCTATCAATATAAAACTTGTAATCAACAAGAAAACATACTCCTTTGGACTTCAGATGCTAATATGGACATGCAACAAGCTATGTTAAAGCCAGCCAAAAGTCTTATATATGGAGAGCCCCTGTTTGTGATTTTATCATTAAATGTGCCCATCTTACCTCATCCTGAAGAGAAGCCACATGAGAATTTGGAATTTGAAAACAAACTGAGTAATGAATATGGACAAACCTACAGTGATTTCCAGAAGCATGCCAGGACAAAGAATGGAGAGAAACCCTATCAACATGAGCAGTATGAGAAATCCTACTCTGAACTTAGTGAAAGAACTCACCTTGCAGAGATTACTTTTGATCAGAAAAGTCTGAAAGCCTCCAATGCCTTCAATGGTATTGCATTCCATGAAAGGATTCACACTGAAAAGATACCATATGTATACATACAAAATGAAAAAACTTTCAGTACTCAAAGTTGTACAATTCCTGAAAGGATTCACATGGAGCAGAAACCCTATATATACATACAATGTGGAAATGCATTCACTACAAAGACTTATCTTAATATACATGAAAATACTCACACAGTGGTAAAACCTTATGTGTGCCACCTCTGTGGGAAGGCATTCTCTACACGCCGATATTGTCAAAGACATGAAAGAACTCACTTGGGGGAGAAACCTTATGTGTGCAAGCAATGTGGGAAGGCATTCACTACAAATAGAAGTTGTCAAATACATGAAAAAATTCACAGTGGGGAAAAACCTTATGTATGTAAGCTCTGTGGAAAGGCATTTGCTGTACTCCAATCTTGTCTAAGACATGAAAGAAGTCATACTGGGGAAAAACCTTATGTGTGCAGGCAATGTGGGAAGGCATTCACTGTACCCAGTAATTGTCGGATACATGAAAGAACTCACACTGGGGTGAAACCTTTTGTGTGCAAGCAATGTGGGAAGGCATTCACTACAAATAGAAATTGTCAAATACATGAAAGAACTCACAGTGGGGAGAAACCTTATGTGTGTAAGCTCTGTGGAAAGGCATTTGCTGTACTCCAATCTTATCTAAGACATGAAAGAACTCATACTGGGGAGAAACCTTATGTGTGCAAGCAATGTGGGAAGGCATTTGCTATACACAGTAATTGTCGGATACATGAACGAACTCACACTGGGGTGAAACCTTATGTGTGCAAGCAATGTGGGAAAGCATTCAGTACAAAGATTTATTGTAACATACATGAAAGAGCTCATACTGGGGAGAAACCTTATGTGTGCAAACAGTGTGGAAAGGCATTTACTACATACAAGAATTGTCGGATACATGAAAGAGCTCACACTGGGGTGAAACCTTATGTGTGTAAGCAATGTGGGAAAGCATTCAATACAAAAATTTATTGTAACCTACATGAAAGAACCCATACTGGGGAGAAACCTTATATGTGTAAGCATTGTGGAAAGGCATTCACTACAAAAAAAGATTGTCAAATACATGAAAGAATTCACACTGGGGAGAAACCTTATATGTGCAAGCAGTGTGGAAAAACATTCCATACAAGAAAATACTGTAAAAGACATGAAAGAACTCACACAGGGGAGAAACCTTATGTGTGCGAGCAATGTGGAAAAGCATTCACAGCAAGGAGTAATTATAAAAAACATAAACAAAGTCACACAGGAGAGAAACCATATGTGTGCAAGCAGTGTGGAAAGACATTCACTACGAAGTATTCTTGTAACAACCATGAAAGTACTCACACAGGGGAAAAACCTTTTGTGTGCAAGCACTGTGGAAAAACATTCCCTACAAAAAATTACTGTAAAAGACATGAAAGGACTCACACTGGGGAGAAACCATATGTGTGCAAGCAATGTGGAAAGGCTTTCACTACACGCCACTATTGTAAAATACATGAAACAACCCACACTGGAGAGCAACCTTATATATGTAAGCAATGTGGAAAAGCATTCTCTACAAAGATTTACTGTAAAAGGCATGAAAGAAGTCACACTGGGGAGAAACCGTATGTGTGCAAGCAGTGTGGAAAGGCATTCACTTCACGTCAGTATTGTCAAATACATGAAATTATTCACAGTGGGGAGAAACCTTATGTGTGTAAGCAATGTGGAAAAGCATTTGCTACAAAGTATTATTATAGAAGACATGAAAGAAGTCATACTGGGAAGAAACTTTAGTTCAAGCAATGTGGGAATGAATTTACTATAATGAATTCTTATGCATGAAAAAACTTACACAGGGTAGAAACCTTATTTGTGCAGGCACTGTGGGAAGGCATTCACTGCACATCAGTATTCACAAGTACATAGAAACACAGAAGCAGAAATATGCACATAAGCTATGTGGCAAAAGAATTGCTAGTAAGTCCTCATTTTATATACATGGATCTCTGGTGTGGAACCCTGTATGTGTATATACAGTGCAAGGGAAGCATTCATGAATGCATTTTTATCACCTACATAAAGTCACACTAGAGAGTAACACTATATATGTAATCTTATTTTGAAAAGCTTGTCAAAATTCCTCATGTGGAGACCTGTACACATGTAAGTAAAAAATTTCTTGTCAATATTTCTTAAGTTTTCCAGAAAATACTCTCCCAGATGGAGATCTAGAGGTTTTTTTTCTTTGTTTTTCAGTAAATAACTTGAAAATATCTGAGCTGTGTATTTGTAGTCTTTGCTGAAAATCATACTGACATATTTTTGTGTAAACCATTGTCTTTCAACTTAATATATTGTATCTTCTAATAAAACAAGATGAATTGAAATGTATTTCTCACTTCCAAGTAGGATTAGTATTTATGTAGTTTTGATTTTGTTTTGCTTTTACTATGGGGAGGTATAGGTTGCTAAAAGTAAAGTTTTATTAGTAGGATTTAATGAGTAGTGGGGATTGAGCTCACGATCTTACACTTGCCAGGCAGGTGCTTATGCCACTCTGCTAAATTCCTGGCTCTAGGTTTTTATTTTTGTAATCCATTTTATTTCAAGGAGAAAAGAAAACAAGAGAAGAAAAACAAAGTTTCAAACACATCAGTCAGGGAAATTAATGGTTTTTTTAATGGACTTTCCCAATACCATTGATCGTAAGTTTCTTGATGTATACATTTCATATTCTATATACAAAAACATAATTTGATGTATATTTGTCAGCATGTGAACATGTATTTTCATTAAAGTTCATTTGTTTACACGCAACTGGTAGATTAGCAAATTTTTTAATGTCCTAAATTCCTGCATATGTTTCAACACAATTATATAAAAGCTCACAGTTTCACCTATTTAATGCTGAAATCAGTAGTATGATTTATAAAAAATTTGGGTTTCTTACCATTATACTTTCATGCTTATTCTGTTAATATTTTTAATTTGGTGGTAATTTTCCCACAATTTATACCAAAAAATAAACATACTGAGTATGGATTTAGCAGTATTATAAGCACCTGCCTGGCAAATGCAAGGTCATGAGTTCTATCCCTGATACCAAAAAAATAAATAAAAAATAGACCATACTGCTGTTTCTCATGATGACACATCAGATGGACCATGCCTTGCGTAATAAATGATGTCATGAATTGTATCAGTGACTACTAGGGAAACATTTAATTTGTGATACACAAATATTCTAACAGCTTACAAGATTGGCATAAAATAGTGCACACATATACACACACACGTGGAAGAATACAAAAGGTTTCTCTGTATATTAGATACACAAAACCAGTTCAAGGCTTGGAGCCCATCGTAGTATCCCATACAATTCTGTCAGACCAAAGTGTCTGCCAGAAGACTATGGTCTGGGTTGAAGGCTAAAGCCAGGAGGTGGCTTCAATGCGATAGTAAACACTGAAGTTTCTCCACAGAAACAATGTAGGCCCTCCTTTTTTGTCTCTGGCAGTAATCCTTTCTAAGGTGTGTATTCCAAATCCATAATTTGCTGGGCAACCGTAGTTGGGCACGCAGTACTCAGTTTAATATAATGGGTTAACTGTCACTATTCACTCCTGACAACTTCACCATTGCACACTTTTTTTTTTTCGTATCGGAGATCAAACTCATGACCACACACTTGCAAGGCAGATGTTTATGTCGCTGAGCTAAATCCCCAGCTCTACAATTGCACACATTTTTTAAAACCATAGTTTCCAGATACAAAGATGAGTTCAAAAACATACCTTATATACTATAACTGACCCACATGCAAGTAGAAATGAATTAATTCCTTTGCTCACAATGCAAGGAGAGTTTTCTTTGAGGCCTTACTCTTAACATTTAATACCTGAACACTATAGCAGGTGAAGTAAGGTAACTAACACTGTCTGTCAACATATTACATGGAAGGATATTGGGAATGCACTATTACAAATCTCATTTCTGTAGCTGAACATGGGGCTATGGCTTGTACTTAGAACTAGTTGTGTCACCCATTAGGTATTCCTTGGCTTTCAGCAAGCATCTTAGCTGGTCTTGGTCCTGTCCCTTAGGTGGTGACCCTTTCATTGCAGAAGCTTGTGGGCCATTTGACATTCTTCCTGGTTTGGATTACTATTTTCCATGGACTTTTAAACAGCATGGCAATATGAGGAGACAGATTGAGGCATCTTACTCCCAAGAATATTCATTTTTTTCCTACATTGTGGGTAACAGTATAATTTTTCTTTCATGATCTGAGTGAAACACCTCTTAACACTGTAACTCCCTTTTTAGTCACTTTCATCAGTGTTATGAGGCAAAAATGGCCAATAAAAACTCTGCACTACCACTTGATCAATGCCTCTGTGCTTCCCAGTACAAACCTTTCCTACTCTGAAACTAACTTCTTACTAAGCCAGCAAAACAGGTTTAAATTTTTGCTGACAGATGACTGGGTATCAATGACAGGTACACCTTTATTCTTGGACCCATGGGTCCTGGCTATGGGAAACAGCATGTAGGTGAGTGCTGACTCAGCATATACACAGCATTTTGAACAGCCTTGCCCCAGCACTATAAGGTAATGCTGGAATGGGTGCTGGAACTGTGTCTTCAAAAAATCATTCCAAGTTTCTACCAATACAGCTGTTTGTGGATGGTGAGGAACATGATAAGCCCACTGAATTCCATAAGCATGAGACAGTCGCCTTTGGGTTTCAGATGCATTCTTTGTGGTCAAATCCAGTGCTGTGTAGAATTCCATAATGGCGATGAGGCATTATGTGAATCCATGGTTGGGAGTTTGGTCAGAAGTATAAGTAGGAAAGTTAAGTCCATATCCAGAAAAAGTATTCAAGGACAAAGCACATACCTATGATGGAAGCCATTTAATATAATCAAACTGCCACTAGATAGGAAATGATGCTGTATTGGGGAAAATCTTTTGGTCCATACTGCTGACCTACTGGGTCTATAGCAGTGGTTTTAGACAGAAGAGTCTTGGAAAGTGTGAGTCCATGTCACTGACCATGCATAACCCCTCTTTCCTGCTGACATGCACACTGTTCATAAGCCCATTGGTCAATGAAAAAGATGGCTGAAGAGAGAAGTTGACTACAATCCAAAGAACAGGTGATCATTTTCAGTTGGTTTTTTTGTTTTGTTTTGTTTTTGGTACTGGGGATCAAACTCACAACTGCATGCTTACTAAGTAGGCACTTATGGTGCTGAGCTAAATCCCCGGCCCCATTTCAATTGTTAAAGTCCTTTTCTGCTGAGGTCACATTTTTGTGAAGCTTTGTATGGAATACAAACATTTTACATCTCTTCACTATATAGATAGGCCTACCCACATTCTTTATCCACAAATACCTGTGTCAACAATTTTCCACTTAAGTTCCTCCATGTTTCTGAACACCCTACTAGACTGTTGTGCTCAGCCCATAAATCAGTATACAATTGCATATCTGACCATTTTTCCTCCCAGGCAAAACATACTAGCAGGTATGCTGCCCAAAGATTGATCCACTGTGAATATTAACCTTCACCATTGTCAAAATGGGGTGTCTTACAAAATGGTTGTATGGCTGCAGCCATCCACTTATAGATTATGCTTGCATAATGTGCAGAACCATCTGTAAACTGGTTAGCATTTTTTTTCCCTAAGTGCTGAATTTGTGGTACACTTCATGAGGCCATAGGTGCATGTATGGTAAAGATGATATGGCAAGTGTAGGAGCCATGGGCATCTGAGGAACTTCATGTAACACTTGTACCCTCAGGACCTTCTCTGTCTCAATCACAAATACAATTTCTATTTAATAATAGACTGTCACTGTGCATATACAACTTACAGCTTGGTGGATCAGACAATACCCACCTGATACCAAGCAGTGCAGATTACATAGTATCCTCATGTCCCATGATCAACCCTTCACTTCCCACTATGGCCCATTAGTATGACAAAAACTTTTACAAAGAGTAGCTTTCTCAGATTATGGCAGAGCCTTGCTCTAAAATCCTAATGATCTCATAGCAATTGACACATAAGAGCCTGGCAGAGCCTAAAAACAATTACTATCAGACTTTGGCACTCAGGAAACCACTGGATTTATTGGATTTTATTACCACTGGCAGAGAAGATTGTTGCAGAGTCTTTTTTTTGGGGACACCACTCCAAATGAACAGTTTTCTGAGTCAGTAATGAACTAGAGTAAAGCAACTAAGTGAGGAAGGTGTTGCCTCCAATGTTCAAATAGGCCCAAAAAGCCTTGTGCCTCTTTGTTGTGGGGGAAGCCAGGTCAACAACTCTTCTTTTTCCCTTAAAAGGCATATTTGAACATGCCCCATGTGATTCAACTCTTAGAAACTTCATAGAAGGGGCTAGAGATTTAGCTCGGCAGCATAAGTGCCTGCCTGGCAAGTGCGAGGTTGTGCGTTCAATCCCTGGCACTGCCAAAACAAACAAACAAACAAACAAAAAAAAAAACTTCACAGAGTTAGAGAACTTTGAATTTAGTATGACTTGTTTCTCATCATCTGGCTCTCAAAATTTTACTAACTAATCCAGAGCGGTTTTCAACTCCTGCTCACTTGGTCCAGTCAGCATAATATGGTGAGATGCTTGTGGAAGAGAAAGGCAATCAAGATCCCTGCAGACTAAGTTGTGCCATACCTCTGGAGAGTTAATGTAACCCTGAGATCAGAGAGAGATTTATTGCTTGTCTTCCTGCGGAAACAAATTATTTTAGATGACTCATATGGATATATGTGGAGAAGAAAGGCATTTGCCAAATCAATAGCTGCATCCCAAGCCAGGTGATGGATTAATCTCAACCAAAGACACCACATCTGGCATAGGCCCTGCAATTAGAGTCACAACATGATTCCGTTTGTGGTAATGTATCATCATTCTCTGAGATTCCGCTATCTTCTGCACAGGCCAAATGGAAGAACTAAATGGAGATGTATTGGGAATGACTACATCTGCACTGTCCAAGGCCTTGATAATGGCATTAGTCTCTGCAGTCTCTCCAGGGAAGCACTACTGTGAATTATTTACCAGTTTTGCTCAGGAAAGCCAATTCTAATGGATTCTGTTTGACATTTCCGATTATGCTAGCCCTCACACAACAGTTGAAGGGACTAATTAGAGAGTTCTGCCAAATACTAAGTTTACATATCCAAACAAGGCATTCTGAAACGGAGAAATAATCACTGGACGAATCTGAGGACACTAAACAGTGAGTTGAACCTTGCTAAAATTCCATTCATTACCTTTACTTCGCTGACTCCTCCAGTTACTGGAGGGCCACAATGTATTTTGTGTCTGGTGGAATCAGCTTTGTTTCCAAATCAGTGTAAACGACTCCCCAGCATTTCACATTTCTTAATTACAGTCATCCTGATAACAGTCCTTTCGTTCTCTTGGGGAATGATGGTAGACCATATAAATTTTTCGCGGCACACCAGGATCCTTCCTCAAGGTCCTAGTCTCTGCTTCGCTGGGGGGGGGTGGGGGGGTGGGAAATGTTAACTAGTTTAGGGTCAATGAGTCACGCTTACTGTGCTCTGAAGTAAATCTCTGCTCATTTGCACTTTTTAAAAATTTTATAAATCTAGTAAAATTTTTGTAGCTTTTTAATTTATTTCACTTTTAGGAACACCATGGATAAACAACAAATGCCATAGGTCTACAGGTATCAGACTATTCTGATCATCTGTCTTTCTCTGCTGTGCATTTTTGTAACTGTCTGCACTATGCTTTGACAGTTATGTTTTGTGTC